CATATGATTTGTATTTATTTTAGGCTTAACAAGGGTTGTTTTGTCACTTGATGATCTGAGCGTTCTAGGAGGTACATAGGGTGTTAAAAACAATTAAACAATCATAAAAAATGACGTGGTGACTTACATAACATGTGCACTTGCCCGCAACTTTCTTTGCGATCTTCAAATGCTGTTCCACGTGGGTGATCAGGTACCTATTTGGAAAGTGTAGGAGGAAGGGGGGTGGGGGGGGAGGAGGGGGGATAGAAGAACATAATTATTTTTTCTTTTTTATTTGTTTGTTGGTTGGTTGGTTGATTCTGCTTGTTACATTATGCTCTGCTCTGAGTGGGTTCTCCCCCCCCCCCAACTCCCAAGCCATCCAAAATATAAAGTGAGGTAACGCACCTTGGATATATTATACTCGTGTCTGATATGTTGTTTAGTTTTATTGGGTTTTCTGTTGTTGTTTTTTTCTGGGTATTTTTTTCATACGATTTATATTAAATAAGCACTAATTCTGAGAGTAGGATCTAGCAAACGTCACCAAATGACATTAGCAAGAAGAGACAAATAGAGAATTTCAATATTCAAATGATTAATTGAGATCAATTTTTTTCGTTACACTTAGCTGTTGTCACCTAATCTCTTCCTCCTCCCCCCTTACCCCCCCCCCCCCCAAATTCTCCTCAAATCTCGGTACCCGCAAATTACTCCCAAAGGGTTTCAATAGCAGGATCTTGAAACTGACGGAATAAAAACCACATTCTTCGTCTTTGAACAGGACCACAGTTTGTCTGTTGATGGTAAAAAGCATTATAACGTAACCAACTCTTTTAAGCCTAACTAGAATAACTTTTTTTTTTTTAGAAAAGAGAAGGAATTGTTTTAACAACAACCACAATGACAACAATGACGACAACTGCAGTAACGATGACAGAAAATAAAATTAGAGATGTTAGGAGTGGATTGCACTTCGAAAATAAAGCAGAGACGTGAACCTGCAGGGGAGGCGAAGATCATAGCTGTGTCCATCGAAAGTTGTCATCTTGGGGTCGTTGCGAATTTCAGCCCACACTTGGTCTGTAGATGGATGCATTTATATAATTATACATAGGCTAACAACACTAACTATGAGAATAATAATAATGATAATAATAATAATAATAACAAAAATGATAACAACAATAATAATAGTACTACTACTACTACTACTACTACTACTACTACTACTACTAC